GTTGAAATATGGGAACTTAATTCCAAGAAGTCCAGACTCCCCAAATAAGGGAGAAAATAAAACTAGGCTTTATTCCTGGACAGGCATAGAAAGATTGTGTTTAATCTTAGTCCCATTTTTACTTGTGCTCCTTGATTTTCATTACTAGAGTTACAGATGGTTTGCATTTTAGCTATTAGAGCAGCAGCATCAGCATAACATAGGTTATTGATGTTTCTTTCTTTAATGTTAAAACCATGCTCATCTTCTTCAAATCCAGACTTCCTCAATATATATTCAGCATTATAGACTGAATAAATAATGAGGAAGTATACAGCCTTGTCTCACTCCTTTGCCGACTTGAAGCCAGTCTGTTTTGCCATTTTCTGCCTGGACTGTGGCTTCCTGTCCTGTGTGTAGGTTTCCCACAAGGGCAAAGATATGTCCTGGGATCCCATTTTCCAGGACAGAACATTCATAATAAACATAAAGAAATAATGTGTTTCCAATGCACCTTGTGAAGCTTCAAGAAGCTAAATGCTCTGGAAGACAATTCCTATTCCAACAAGTTTATAATCTATATATTTAAGGAATGAGAAGAAAGGTGGGTAAACAGTAAAACAGACCAATATTTAAACCATTCTTATCTAATCTAGCTTGCTCACAATGTTAGATATAAAAAGAGAAAAACTATGGGAAAGGGAAATAAAGGGATATAGAAGAATTTGAAATGAAAATATGACAATGTATGTGTTTTAAGCTATTAAAGATAGCACAAATTGGTAAAAGAAGCAGCAAGGTTTTAGAAAGGAAACAAAAGATCTTTGTCTTGATCCCTTCTTTCCCTCATTCTGTACAGGAAATATGTATCATAATTAGTATTTATGTTGGTTGTAGGAAACTAAATTACCAGATGAAGGCAGAGTGCTGGTACTCAAGCGAGATAAGTTCTCCATTGATCACATGACACAGTACTCAGGAGTTTGCAATTACAAAGAAGTTTAACATATCCCCGCAGTGCTAGTGGTGCTGGATCTGCATCAGGAAAATCCTGTTCCAAGCAGGGCACGTTTCTACCAATTTGATAATGCCACTCTGTCTGGAGTTTGAAGTGGCAGTGTGGAATCACTGGAAGGGAATCTTCTGTTACTCTGTCACCCCCATGTGAGCATTAGGTGTTCCGAAGATAACAGAGCTTTGCATTACAGGGAGCCCAGACACAATGGGAAACACTAGCAATTTATTCTCCTTTATTTTAAAAAATAAATTTATTTTTAAAGAGAGGAAAAGTAAGTGTTGAGGCATGGAACAGAGGGAGAAGGAGCAAAGCACTCAGCTACTGGCCAACTGGCGAGAGCCCACTGGCAGACAGTTCTCAACGCTCAGGTATGGGCCAGAAAGGGCAAATTACCGATTGGCTCTCCTCAATCTCTGCAGATTCAGAGAGATGTAAAATGCCTGCGTTCATAGTTTCCTAGGCCTAAAGAGACCCAAAAATATCCAAAACAAATTTGAGTGCATTTAAATCTGACTCAGAGGCCAAAAGGCTAGTGCCCCTACTGTTCTCCAGGCAGTATTCCTTTGCCTGATCAGCTAAATAGTCAGAAATACAACCAAAAAATGAAAAGGGGGGGGGTCAGAAAATGATGTTGCTTTATTATTAAAAGCACAGGAGCCATGTCAGAAAAGTATGTCGTCCTTAACTGTCGTTTTATTAAACTAGATTGTCTTTTGTGTGTGGGTATGTGCCTTTGAGTCAATGTTGACTCCTGGCAAGTCTCCGCGGTTTTCTTAGCAAGATTTTTGGAAGTGGCTTCCTATTGCCTTTTTCCTGGGGTTAAGAGAGAGGGACTGGCCCAAGGTCACCCACCTGGCTATGTGCCTAAGGCAGCACTAGAACCCACGGTCTCCCAGTGGTGCCTTAACCACAACACAGAACTGGCTCTCAGATTGTCTTTGCTTGGTAAGTATTTCAATGTGTATCTGAAGCAGTAGCTGTAAAGAAGGTGTAAAACATAACCATGATGATCTTTTAACTGATTCTAATATTTCCCTGTGTCTAAAGTACTTAACCAACCAACCATCTGTTCAAGACCACCTCTCATCTACCCACTCATTACTCCACACCCCCACCAGGCCTAGCTGAGCAAATATGTAAGGCTACCAGAGCCTTCCCAGCCTCTTCCTAATGACTTGCTGCACTAATCATTAATTGCTATACTAATTATTAATCAGACACATTACCAGAACAGAAATGGTCTCTTTCTCAATAAAAAGGCATCTCTCAAAGCACTGGAGCAACGGAGCTATAATAAAAGTGTTCCTGCACTCTTCTGTCTGTAAAATATATTATTGCATGCTTTCTCATACTTTTGTGTGTGAAAGTAAACTGTGCGTCCCGCTTTAAGGACATACATACAATGCATTTTTCTAAATGTGGAAAACATGAAGATGGAGAAAACATGTTTGCAAACAAGGTCATTGTTGAAGCTGGAGTGGCTGTGGGTCCTAGTGATTCTGCTATGGTGGCAAACCTGTGGTGGAAGGTGTAAGCCTTGTGGGGGAGTTGGGCGGTGATATAAATTTGAGATAGATAGATAGATAGATAGATAGATAGATAGATAGATAGATAGATAGATAGACAGACAGACAGACAGACAGACAGACAGACAGACATTCAACAACTCCAAAGGAAGAATGCCTATGTGATTTATTAAAAACCTAAGATGGAGGGAAAAGGCTCCCTTCAACAACTAGCAAGGGTAGGTCTCCCTGCACAAACCACTCTGTGTGACTGTATCATTTAAACAGATTGTATAGATTGTAGTGTTGATGATATTCTGGTGCTTTCAAAAACTGTTTTATTTCCTACCTATGCCCTACTGCTTGTGGTAGCCTTTTTGGTTTTGATTTTCTTTATTTGTTTTCTCCACAGCCAGAATTCATAGAATAGTAGAGATGGAAGGGACCTAAGAAGTTATCAAATCCAACCTCCTGCATACTGCAGGATTCACTACACCATTCCTGGTAGATGAATATCCAGCTTCTGTTTGAAAACCTCCAGTGAAAGGGAAGAAGCCACTCCATGTAGTAACCTATTCCACTGACTGACAGTTCTTACTGTCAAGTTCTTCCTAATGTCTCATCTGTACCCAGATTGAAGTTTCATCCCATTAGTTCTAGTCTTGCTCTCAATAAGTCCAAACCCTCTACAACGTGACTGCTCTTCAGATATCTGAAGTCAGCTGTCATGTCCCCTCTCAACCTCCTTTTCTGCAAGCTAAACACACCTAGGTCTTTTCACCATTCCTCGCAGGACTTGGTTTCCAATCCTTTCACCATCCTGGCGGCACTTCTCTGGACTTGCTCCAGTTTATCACTGTCTTTTTTAAAATGGGGTGTGCCGAACTGAATGCAGCACCAAGTGAGATCTGACCAAGGCAGAGTAGAATGGGACAATTCTTTCCTTATACTTCCAGATTCTATCAAACTCTGCTTGTGTAAACCCACTGGCCAAAAGTAATTCCTACAAACATGCATTGCCTTGTGAATATGACAAATGTAATCAATGAATGAGGCAAGCTCTCCTCTGACACAGCTGGGTATAGAGCTGCCTGACATTAAGCAATTATTGTATTTACATGATACAAGTGTGATTGTCAACATGTACCTATGCAGGGTTTACTCACAGTTACAAAATATATAAAATAAAATTGTATTATGTAAACCAGGCCTGACTTTTTGAGGTGTGGGATATAATATAGTTTAGAATGACAGATTTAATTAAAATTATGAAATACACAATTCTGATTTCTTAAACAGCACGTAGCAAAGAAAAACCTTTAATCCAAACATCTATCACAGCATTCACAAGACAGTATTATAAAAACACTAGTCCAATAATCTGATCCATCTTATGCCTCTTTACTTAGGAGCAAGTTTTTCTCTAAAATATACTCCATGCAGAATAATAATCTCCATAATTAAGTGGTGCTTTGCTAAACTGTAACACAATATGGTTTAGCAGCATAGTCAATTTCTCTTTCTCTCTGATAGAGAGAGAGGAACTGATTCATCACAGTTAATGACTTCCCAGGTAGGCCACACACTTCAAGTGTCTTCTGATTCACCTCAAGCCCCATGACTGCTCTAGCAATATGGATCAGGTCATTATGATCTGTTAGTAAATAATCTCTCTCAGAATTTTGCAAACATTTTCTGACTTGCTTGCCTGGCTGACTAAACAGGTCAATCATTTAATCTGAGCCTTCAAAAACCTCTTGGGCACATATAGTTTCTTATTTTAATAGCTGCTCTTGACTATAACCTTAAAATCTGCTCATTAAACATTAAAAACAAATATTCTTACTCCCCAAGCTTATTGTTCTATTTCCTTAAGATGTAATGCTAAATGCTAACCAATGTCATCTGATATTCGAATTATATGAAATATAGTCTGTCAAATGTAACAATTCCACAATCACTCATTTTAACCGAGATTGAGCAAATCCTCATGTCTGTCCCAATACATTCAATGGAAGATACAGTATCCCATTGCTTTGTGGGTGGAGGCCATGAAGTCAGTGGAGAAAAAATAATGTCTCTCCCCACCTCCAGATTCTTTAATACGAAAGGAGTAATTATTGCTATCAGTTTTCCTCCTAGGAATGGAAAAAATTAGCGGATATGCTTTCAAACTTAAGGCTAGTGCATGAGAATTCACTGGAGGCAAGCAGCTAAACTGATCCGAAAGCACTAGGAAAATACAGAAGGAACATTAATCGGATTCTTTACTATGTTTTGCCATTATGTGGAAGTTTTATCACTCTCTAAAACAGAAGAGAGATTCTCTTCCCTAGGTTTACAAAGGGCAGAAGGACCAATAGCTTGTTTAAAGAAACCCCACACACTTTCACACAAACATTACTGAGTTGCATGGTATACTCACACATATACACCACTCCACAATTACAAAGTAACTAAATAATATTCAAAGGCAATTCTTTTTCTTTGGTGGTTACCTGGATTATAGCCCTATCCTTTTGTCCTAGACATTTAAACTTCTTGTTTGATCCACACAGAATTTTCTAGCCATCAGATGCTCTGCTACTGTGCTAGCCGTCTTGCAGGAGTGCTCTCTCTCCCTTCTGAAAAAAGCAAACAACTGGATAGCTATCATTACACTAAGGAAATCTCTTGGAAAAAAAAAAAACACACCAAACAACTAGCTAATCTTTGTAGCCCCTTCATCCAAAGTTAAAGATAAGAAAAACAAACCTAAGTCAGTTTCAACCACATTCCAGGGACAAGTTCCCGTTTTCTTCTTTATCAAAACACTAGCTTTTAAAGTCCCCCGCCCCCGACCTTGCAGGCTAAACTGCTGCTCACGCCCGCAAACAAAGCAATATTTGTTTAATAACTGATTGCTGCCATGGGTACAGTAAACAAGGGCCCTGGCATTTGTGTTTATGAACAAACACATCATCTTGCAAGAGCAATTTAACATTAACCAGGTGGAATAATCAACAGATTTCATAGGTGAGACTCTGGGCAGGACAACTGTAAACAGAGCAGGGAGGAGAAAGGGGCCAGTCTCAGGGAATCAAGGTTGAAGCAAAAGCATTGCAGAGTAAACAGCTGGGGAGAGGTCAAGGCAAACAAACAGTCATCCTTCTGACATTTAGAGGAGTAGAAAGGTTGCATGTTACATGCATCCGCGGCCGACCACCACTGGGAACAATGGCCACTCGTTTATACAGCACCAGGTGCCTCTAAACGAGATGCAGTCACTGCGAGTAATTTGTGCTCTTTCGTTATTGCACTAACTGGAAGATCAGCTACATCAACTTACAAGTATGCAACCCATTCAAGAATGCTTGGGTAAAAATGTGCATGTTTGTTTTAACTCCCTCTCCCCCATCTCCAAGTGGATATAAAAGAACTGCTTTACGAGAATGGGGCAAGGCAACAAGAACGCAGCTATCCATTGTTATAGGTATCTTTATGCAGAAATGCATTCCATACAGCTGTGAAAAAGAGAAAGCACTATCTTAAATCACTTTTTCTCACAGGCCTGTTTCTGTCAGTTACTAACAGTAATTAATTAGAATGTTTTCAATGCTACTAAAATAAATGTCGCTGTGACTATTATGAACCACACATAAACTTGTCAACTCATACAGAAGTTCAGCACAGACAATGGCATGTGCGCTAAAGTGAGAGATAAAAATTAAAATTATACTCTTACATACTACGAAGGTGGTAGGAAAACGTAGATCCTTTTAGATTTTAAGTGTGCTGACCAAGGGTTACCATGGGCAGTCGAGAATGTCCCTCGCACTCTCTGGCCAAAGGCACACTTCTGAACTGCACTTTAGCCAGAGCACGATGTGTCTGACTGGGCAACTAGGCCAACCCAACCACATGTTGATACAGTCATCTGGCAAGCGGGAGGCTATACAAATGGAACAAATAAATATATAAACATGTCTTCCAGAAATCATGTTCTGTCCAAAATTAAGTTACGACCTTTTCTCAGTTGAAAACATCAATGCAGAAATGTAAGAGTTACAGGCAAGATCTTACCCTGTATTCTGAAGCTTCTCCAAAACATGGTAGCGCCAAGTGCCTATAAAGAAGCTAATCAAGATGCACCAAACAGCATCAGTTATGAAGATATTGAACAACAACATTTGGACACTGCTCAGTTACCACAACCTGCCTGACTTTGAAAAAAAGTCTTTGTTTCATACCTGAAATACTGGGTTACTCAGCAGTGAAGGCAGGAAAGTGCATATTTCTAAGGATTATAGTCCAAATAAATCTAATCAAAGTAAGCTTTGATTGATACCAGTTTCTTGCCCACAGACCACCTTCCAGACTGAATGCTACTGACATATGAATCTATGCTAAAGAGGAACTCAAACATTCAATTTCCTCTGTTCAGATATAATTCTGTTTTGGCTGTTTCGGATTTGACAGTATGTTAGCACATGGATAGCAAAATGGCATCTGTGGTCATCAATGCATTATGGACTTCTCCATTACACTCAACTTTAATAGATATTTGCTTTCCTTGTCTGAAACTAACCATCTCTCTTGTAGCTCCACCATTTTCAAGAACACTCAAGTTTTCCTGGCATACAACATTTCCATTTTCTAACTATATGTTAGCTCTGGGCTATCAGTATTCCAGTCAAGATATTACTGATCCATATGATGTGTTTTTTAAAGAAACAAACTTTTTTCCCTTTTCATAATATGTGTTTAGGTGCATGTGCACCAGAGTGCAGAAGCTTAGAACTGGAAGGGACCTCAGAGATATCTTGTCCAATCTCCTGCTTGGTGCAGGTTCTCCTAAAGCATTTCAGACAGTTGGCTATCTAGTCTCTCTTTGAAATTATCCAATGAAAAGGAACATAACTGCTTCATGCACAACCTGTTCTACTAGATGACAGCTGTTACCATTAGTTGTTTTATGGTTTTATGGGTTTTTTATAGTTCCAGGCTTTATTGTTGTTGTGAGCTGCCCAGAGTTGTATTCTAAAATGGGCAGCCATATCATTCTTTTAAATAAATTAGGAACTTTTTCTTAATATTTAACTTGAATATAATTTTAACTCACTGGTTCTGATTCTACTCTCTGGGATAACAGAGATCAAATCCATTTCCACCTCTATATGACAACCCTTTAGATATCTGAAGACTGCTATCATACCCCCTTCAATTCTCTTCTGCAGGCTAAACATTTCCAGTACTTTTAACCATTTCTCATTAAGACTTGGATTCCAGTCCTATCACCTTCTTGGTAGCTCTCCTCAGAATTCCAGTTTGTCAACGTCCTTTTTAATCTGCAATGCCCACAACTGAATACAATATTCCAAATGGGGCCTGACCAAGACGGAATACAGTGGGAAGATTACTTCCTGTGATCTGGACTCTGTGTGCCTCTAGCATTTGCCTTTCTAGCTGCTGAATTACACTGTTGGCTCATTTTCAACACAATCTACTTGAACAACCAGATCTAGAACATATATACTGCCAGGCTAAACAATGTATATTGCCAGGCTAAAACTCCTCTATTTTATACTTGTGCTTTGAATGTTTTCTCCCTGGGTACAAGACTTTGCCTTTCTTCCCATTCATTTGGTTCATTGATAAAGCCTCTCTAAATCTTTATGAACATTATCTTCCTTTTCTAAAGTATTATCCATTCATCCTGGTTTTGTATCATCTGTAAATCTGATCATCACTCCAGGTCATTAACAAAAACATTGAAGAACACATGGCTTGGGGCAGAGCCTGTGGCACTTCACTCTATAATAATCACCAAGCAGATGTGGAAATATTTAGGAATACTCTCTTGGTATGGCCCATTCAGCCAATTAACCTCTAACAGTTGCATCATCTAGCTCTTATTTTACCATTTATTAATGAAGATATCATGAAAAACTTTGTCTATGTCAAGGTACGCTATGTCTACTGATTTCCCCAATTTATTAAGCTAGTAACTCTGTCAAAAAAGGAGATAAGGTTAGCCTGGCATGACTTCTTTCTGCCAAACGCATGCTGACTCCTGTTAACTGTTGTGTTCCTATCCAAGTGCTCACAAATGTGCTGTTTAATAATATGCTTGAGGAACTTGTCCACTATAGACAACAAACTGATAGGTCTGTTCTTCACAGGTCCATCTTTTTTCGTCTGTTGAAGAAACATTTGCTGTCCTCCAATCTTCTGGGTCACCCAATTGGCTTTGTATCTAAGGTGGGAGTAGAACTCATAGACTCCCAGTTTCTAGTTCAATGTCTTTAACCACTACATCAAACTGGCTCTTGTGGTACACATACAATAGCATTGAAAAACTCCTTTCTTTGTTACACATACACGTATTAATTAATGCTGCATGTAAAGAAAGTGCATATTTTTAAGGTTTAATCCCCAGTATCTTCGGATATAGCTGGAAAAACTCCTGCCTGAAACCATGGAAAACCCCTGCCAATCATTATCATGATGATAATTCTGATTAAATGGATCAATGTTCTGACTATATCACTGAGGATGTGAGCTAACACATAGCATATTTAGTAATGATAAAACTGACACAAGGGACACAAAATGATATCTGGACTTAATCAGAAGTTAATTAGAAACAATTACATGATCATTTTTAATTACACTGAGGTGGTGTTGCAGAAAATAAACATGACAATAGCAGGCCTATATATTGTGATTAGATTACATCCAAGCCCCCCGAAAGTAAGGCATAAAAAAGAAAACTTCCCCTAACAATCCTAACCATATCCATATCCATATCTATAGATATACAGATATATATTCATTCAATAATATAATTATTGAAAAAATGTTGGGAAGGAAGAGCAGTATTAAAGCTTATTCATGCTGCATATTCCACTGGCCCTGCTGCTGGATAGGGAGAGTAGAAGAAATCAAAAGGTCTATTCTGAAATCCCCACGCGACAGGTCTTTGGTGATTTTGGCTAAGCTCTTTCTAGAGATGCAATGCAGTGCCTCCAGAAGGTTCAGCCTGGAACCTTTAAAGGCTTTTCTCATTCGTCTCTCTGGGTGTATCCATGCAGAGATACTTAACTGAACGGCAGTCCCAGCAGAAACACAGCCTGTGTACACACACCCTCACGCAGACAAGTGGAGAAAGTCTTCCAGATGATGTAGTTCCTTTCATGCTTTGAGAACAAGCACTTTGTATGGCCAGTGGTGCTTGCATAGCTCTATCTTCTATTTCCTCTCTATTTTACAACACAGTTTACCCCAGGAGTCTTGGTAATTTACTACTAAAATTACCAAAATACCTAGAGACAAGCATTCTGTTCTCAGAATGTTTAAATTCAAAAGGCACAAATTTGAAATCTAGTGCATAATGTTGCATGTCGAGCCTATTATTTCAGCATTAAAATATCTACAAATTACAACTGAATTTCTTCTGTGATTCTTTGCAGGCATGTAAAATCAGTTTCTTCAGTGAAAAGTAAGTACTATATGATAAAAACTACAAGGATATCATTCAAATGCTTTATTGGTCAAATAGATGGATGCCTTTATTAGCTCAACCCTTTTTGTAATGGAGTGCCACAGATGACCCAGTGTTATCCTCATCTCCCTGCTATTAATCACATTCCTAA